CCCCAAAACCCCAAAACCCCAAAACCCCAAAACCCCAAAACCCCAAAACCCCAAAACCCCAAAACCCCATATTCTTTATCATAAATGAGAAAGAATTTATAAAAAGAATAAAAATGGATAATTACTACTCATAATCAATCTTTTATAAGAAAGGCCTGCTTTGAATATAGAAGGTTATGGATGAACATATGCTCCTACTCGTTCATTTTGGTCATGATAATTTTGAATTCCTCAAACGATATTTCCCCGTCCCCGTTTTCGTCTACTTGTCCAATGATTTCGTTGATCTCATCGTCTGAAAATTTCTGGATCCTGATCAGCGACTCCTTGACTTCGTCTCCTGAAATGTAGCCGCTGTCGTCTTTGTCAAACATTTTGAAGGCAGCCTTGAGCTTCTTCTCGGAGAACAGGTTCTTCTCGTTCATCGTGGCCACCACGAACTCTGAATAATCAAGGTACCCGCTTCCGTCTAGGTCGACTGCCTTGAACATCGCTGTGATTTGTTCTTCGTTGATGGAGTAGCCGAAGACTTTCTCGTATCCGTTTTTGATTTCTTCTTTGGACAACATGCCGTCACCGTTGGTGTCGAAGGCCTTGAACACTGATGAGAGGCTCTCCTTCTCTTTCTTCGACAACAACTGACTGGCGATGTAGGCGATGGTGGCCTGCTTGATTTTCTCTTCTGCCCTGAACTTTGACAGGTTGAACAGCGCATTCTTAGCCAGCTTGGAGTCGAACTCGGGGTCTCAATGCTCTGCAATCCAGGGGTGTGACAAAGCGTCTCCAGCAGAAATCCTTTTGTCAGTCTCAAGTGTAAGCAGCTGGGTGATGAGGTCTTTGGCATCATCAGAGACTTCGTCCCAAACTTTGCCTTCCATGGAGAATGTTCCTTCTAAGATCTTGGTCTTCATTTCTGCGTCCGATGCAGCGTTGAATGGAGGTGTCCCTGACAACAAAATGTACATGATGACACCTGCACTCCACACATCTCACTTCTCGTCGTAGTTCTTGAGCCAGACTTCTGGAGCGATGTAGTACGGAGTTCCGATGCTTTCGTTGATCATCTGGTCGGGCTCCTTAACGACTGAAATTCCAAAGTCAATCACTTTGATCTGGTTGAAGTCTTTGTTGGACTCCATCAAAATGTTTTCTGGCTTGATGTCTCTGTGCACAATGTTTCTGGAGTGGCAGTAGTTCAGACACGAAAGTAGTTGCTTCATGATTACAGAGGCGTCTTGCTCGGAGAAGTGTCCTTTGTCAATGATTTCATCGAAGAGTTCTCCTCCCTTGCAAATTCTAAAGTGAGTCAGCAGACTTACTCTGTAATGATGTAGTAGCGCTTTTCATCTTGGAAGAACTCATACATCTTGACGATGTTCGGGTGGTCGAGGTCTTTCAGAATGTCGATTTCATTGAGAAGCATTTTCTCGTCTTCTTCAGTCATGTTGGCTTTGTACAGAATCTTGACTGCTCGCTGAGAGTTGGACTCCTTATGCAGTCAGATCCTGACGTCTCCGAAAGCTCCCGACCCAATCAGTTTTCCGATTTTGTAGAACTCTTTGAGTTTGCCTTTGTTTTCGAGGACGAAGTTGGAGGCCTTCATGCCAGCCGTGGATTCTATATTACTCTGGTTAGAAGGAGCACATTCGGAAAAGAGACGATAGGCTTCCAGATTTTATGGACTGCGGTGCGAATAACTAAATCTCCTTCTAAACAACCACCCCACATTCTGCCTCCACCAATCACCCACTACACTTATTAATAAACCCAGAAACCACCAATTCTCTGCTCTATTATACTCAAATTCTAATCCTGTATCTGAGAGGTTGGTTTAGATCTTACCTTGTTTTTCCATATTTAAAATTATGAGAGACTGTATCAATAAATTAAGATAGTTTCGGGGTTTTGGGGTTTTGGGGTTTTGGGGTTTTGGGG